TGGCACAGATTGCCCAGAGAAGCTGTGGATGCCCCATCCCTGGAAGTGTTCAAAGCCAGGCTGGATGGGGCTTGGAACAATCTGGTCTAGTGGAAGATGTCCCTGCCCACAGCAGGGAGTCGGAAGGAGATGATCTTTTAGGTCCCTCCCAACCTAAACCAGTCTGTGATTCTATCATCTGCCAAAGCAGCCCCAGCAAGCTAAAAAAGGATCATGTCAAACACAACAACAAGAAAATATAAAAGCCATGAAAACAACCTGTCAAGAGAGGAGCATGTCAGCTGGGATGTGGGGAGCAGGCAGGACTCAGTCACTGTCCCCTTTTTTGGCTCATCTCCACAGAGACATTTGGGGAGAAGATATGAATCCCAAGGGAGGAACAGATGCATCTACCTGGATGCAATATTCTGCCTGCGTGCTGCGGAGCTGAGGCTCAGCCCATGCTGCCCAAGGGTCTACCCCTGCTTCAGCCATCCCCACTACCCCTAATCCTGCCTTTCCCAGCGTTTTTTCCTCCCTCTGCAGCTGCCTATGGGGCCAGGCAGGGGTCAGGATATGCCTCTAATCCTGCGGCCTCCCGTGAGCTGGCCCTGCTGGCTCTGGGTGACACATCCTGGGTGGGAGCCAGAGCCCCACTGATGCCCTACACTGTTTCTTGCTGGGCTCCTCCAGCAGCTGCCAGTGTGCCGAGGGGTCAGGACAGCATGGACAGGGGGGTGCCCAAGGGGGAGACCGGAATGCCTGCACCGAGTGTGCACAGCATGTGGCACTTGTCTCCCGGGTGCAACTGGGGCCACCACTGCACCTTGACTTCTGCAGGCCACCCTGCAAGAAGGGGAACAGCAGCAACTTTTGTGTGTTGCAGTATCTCCTGCTGTAATTTCTGTAAGGTCAATCGCAGCTGAAGAGTGGCCAAGCACCTTTCCCTGTGCCCCAGGCTGGGGCAGACAGGGAACGTGGGTGGAATTTTGTAGAAGAAATGCCTCGGGGACATTCCTTTGTAAAGTCTTACAGACATTCCCGAGAATACCCCAGTTGCCATTCACTGCCAAAATCCTTGCGGCTGCCCCACACCATCCTCCAAGCCCCTGTAACAGCAAAAGGTACGCTTGTTTGTGGCGGGGTTGTGCAACCTCCCTCTGACTGCCAGTCCCAGTTCCCGGGAGCTGCCTCCTCCTGCAGCCGAGGTCTCTCCTCTGCCCGCGAGTGCTGCCACAGGGAGAGATGGAAAAGTCATTCGGCATCCCTCCGAGCTGCTTCCCTGCTTGCATGGCTGACCGCCTCCAGCACCGCAGGCTCCTAACCTGCCCAAGGAGAAACTGGACCAAAACAAGCATTGTGGGGGTAGACAGAAAGCAGCCAGGGATATTGAAGACTGGAGCAGAGAGCCAGCAGAGTGAAAAACAGCCACGTGGGGACTGTGAAAATCAGAGCTGAAGAGAGGATGATGGGAAAGGTCTAATAAAAAGTCACAGTATACAAAATACACAAGCACCCACCTCCACCAGGACGGCTGTGGGAACGGATTTTGGTGTAATCTCTGGCTATCGAGGCTGTCCAGGCAGACACAGTCTGGATATGTAACTGGATCAGGATTAGACCTGATTTAAGAAAAAATCTAAGGAAATCTTGGATTAGACCTAATATAAGAAAAAATCTAAGGAAATCTTAGATTAGACCTGATCTACAGAAAGCTTAGATTTTTTTGCTCTGTCAACTTGAAAGACAATGCTTTCCCTCACAGTGTTTTGTTACTACGTGGAAGAAATCAAGGGAGGCCAGTTGGCTGTAAGAGGATCCTCCAGCCTCAGGTAGCTCTCAACCACATCCACATACCATATGGAAAAGCATCTGCTCAGCCCCAGAAAACCTCCCCCAGTCTCATCCTAGCATGCAAAAACCTCAGACCAAACCTGTGCTGAGTTCCCTCCCCACACTTGGCCCCAGCACGGCGCAGGCTCTGGGGATGGTGAATAGCTACAGTCATTACTACCACTGAACCTTAGGGTCTCTTTCCCAACCTGTGCAAAGTTGTCCCAGGTCAGTCTGGCAGACAGTGGGGACAGAAGGAATCACGCAGGTTACCTATCAGACAGAGGGAACCGAGTGATTAATTACCCAGAAAGGTTGTGCTAAACTTGGAGGCTGTGTCCTCCCGGCCAAGACACTGCTGGAAAAGCCCACTGTGACCCCTGAGCTCAAAAAAGTCAATGCCAAGGAGCGACGCGTCACAGGTAGCCACACCCACCCCCAGCCCAAGTGATCTGAAGTAGCAGCTTCCCAGTCAAAGGAAACTTATATTTCCTTATCGTTTGCTATAAATACAGCTGTGCTGTTTTCCTGACCGTGTTATTCCTACAGTCCTTATCACACACACTCAGATATCCACAGCGCAGTCACACACTTCACAACCTTCTTGCTCTCCTATTCCCAGCGTTTCCAAACCATTTACATTCACAGCCCCCTGTGTTCTGAAGCTCTTCTATGGCAACGGGTGACACTGCCCCGGACCTCCACATCCGCACTGAACAGGTCAGCAAATGAACTTGTCTTCCTTTTCCCCTTCTCTGCCATACAGGGACCTGGCTCGCAGCTCGGGATGAACTCAAATGTCACTTCTGATAAACATTTATTTTTGCTGAGGAGTACGATGTGTTTATAGGCAGTGAAGTGGGCCAGTGAGAAGCAACAGGCATGCGCCAAGTCTTGCAACATCTTGACGCTTCTGAATACCTTGGTCTCCCGCAAAAGTCACGTTGTATGGTCCCTGGGGCATTTTAAACACAAGGGGGAAAAGGCACTGGGGAAAAGGATTCCCAAGGTCTCGGGCTGGAAGAGAGACCACATTGAAACAGCGTGACAGTGCATTCAGGTGGCCTGTGTTGCATCAGCCTGGAGACCAAAGGGAAATACCCTGGAGCAAAGGGTCTGAGAAGAGACAGCAGCTGGTTGAAGGTGCCTTCATTTCTGCACTGATCCAAGACAATCAAGACCTCACCTGCCACAACATCAGCTTTAGACCGTGGTCTCATTTCCCTCAACGGATTAGGTGACAGGGTGGGGGAAAAATTTACATACAGTACCCATACCTGTAGAATATTTGATGAAGACGAGCAAGTTTAACAGGTAAAAAGGCAGCCTGAACCTTTATGAGATGATACTACAGTCCTCCTAAATCAAAGCTGTCATTCAGCAATACTATGAGCTTAACTGGATGAGTGGGCACCCAAGTGCTAGGAGAAATCCATCACCAACTGCTGCCAAGCCTTCCCACGGGATGTGGGTATCTGTAACCAAGTATTATGACCTTGATGCTGAAATACTTGGGCAATTCATCTATCACATGCCTGGTGCAGGGGGTCACATTCAGATGGCCTCAAAAATCAGTGAATCTGTTTTTTCTCAGCTCTGCATTCAAGTTCTAAGTTTCCTTCTCCAAGCTGGCTCAGAAACACCAGGAGGATATTCATTCCTGTGGTTTTATGGCATTTATATGTCGAGTCTAGGCAAGAACTTGAAAATGGAGTAGGGCTATGATTTGTGTTCCCATTGGAGGAAAAAGTTTGACATTTAAAAACAGTTGAGCTCAGTTTTGATCTGTTCTTTAGAGAATAGATACTTAGAAGAATAGACACTTAGAAGACATTTCATTTGTACTATCTTTTAAATATAAACTAAAATAGCTCCAGTTGTTTCTTTCTGGGACTAAAAAGGAAGTCCAACAGTCCTGATCCAGAGTAGTCAAATCAGGCTTTTTCCAATGTTCTACAAGTCTGGATCCTGGATTTTAGTTCTTTTCCATCATAAATCTGTACAACTTTACCTCTTGCTTTTACAAGCTGCCACCTTGCAGATCCATTTTAATGTGGCAAGAGACTGCCTCCTGTGTCTCTACACAGGTCTAAATACAATGATTTTGAGACGTTACTTACAGCAAAGACAACCCCCCATAATTTCCACCACTATCCCGCTGCTGACCATATTTGAATACACTTTGATATGTGTACCACCAGACACTGTCAAACACCTCGTGTTGGGCACCAAAGAGAACCAAAGGAGAAACCACAGAAAATAGAAATGCTGCTTGCATGTGCTCGTCCAGACACAACTTCCCCTGCCTCTTTCTTTGCAAAATGAGCTTCAGATACCCAGTTTGGATATACAAATTCAAACTCTCACAAAAATTCAGCTGAGGATGTGAGTGGTAGCTGGCACTTCTCTGGTTTTTTTCTACACAGCCCGATGCATCAAAAGACAATGAGGAAGGCTGAATGATTCATAGTCATGGAATGAAATGCCATTCACAAATGTTTTTTCCATAGCAATTTGTCACTTATTGTATTGAAACCACTTCAGAAGATGTGTCTCAAAGAGCCTTTTGATATTAGCATGATTAAAAACATAATGCAATTAAGCAATCCCATAATATTTCTGTATGTTATACAAGTAGGACCTCGAGTGACCACTTCATCGAACCCCCTCACAAATGAACAGTTCTAGCAGAAGGCTGTTATTCTGCAAGATGCCTCAGATAGTGGTACAACACCAAGGAATTCAAATCTTCTCATCCCAGAGGCATTCTGGCTCACCAAAATCCATCTGTTCAGCTTTGGTGTTGGGTCTAGCCTACATGTCTCAAACCTTCTAAAACCAGCCAAGAAAGATGCACCTCCCCAAGAGCCACTCTGCCCACTTCAACACCGATGTCTAAAATCACTGGGAATATTTACCCTCTAGATGTTATCTTTCTCTCTTTATTGTCTGTCTAGAATCTACCTGGACATTTGACACTTGCCCTGTTGTTCCTGTCACCTGTTGGTATTTAGGCACATACCAAACTTGTGGTGCACCCCTCCACATCGAATTCCCATATCTGGAGCGCACTGTTATGCAAACATGCACAACTTTGCACTCATACATGACACAGCATTAAAAAAGCCTTCAATGACATGTGGACAAAAAAGGTCCTTCCAAAGTGCCAGCTTTCCCCACATCCCTACCTGCCGGGCAGTTGCATCGCTGGTGTGTGTCTCGAACTTCTCGATGTCTCGGCAAGTGAAACTTCAATTTCTGTCAATAGAGGAGAAACAGGAAAAGGATTAATTTATACCATCAGAACCAAAGCCTCAAATTCTTGGAAAAGTGGGAGTTGGGGGGGGGGGGGTGCCCAAGAGATGGGAAAGACAGGGTAGAACAATTTGGGAATGAAGAAAGGCATTAAAGTTCACAGTATTTAACTAGAAATGTGGGGTTTGATTAAAAGCAGGCCGAGGGAGTTTCGTAACGGCCTCCAAATGTGGTCCTTACAGGCATTACAAAACCAAGAGCTGGCACTGGCAAATAAATTGGTGACTGTGTCCTTGTGAAAAAGCTGCATTTCTCAGCAGACTCACTCAGCAGACAAAACCCGAAGATCTGAAGCAGGTACTCTTCCCCCCTGTGGCTCCTTATGCTCATGGAGACACCTGGATGGACAGGAGGGTCCCACCAAAATATTGTGGCTCAAGGTGAACTGAGAACAGCAACAGCATCTCCTGAAACCTTCAGAGGCTGTGAAACTTAACTTTTCTCCAAGTGCAGAACAGAACAAAACCTATCAAGAGCTTCCACAATGTCGAATTGCATCAGAATGTTCATTTCCAATGAGTTTGGATTTCTAATGGTGCCAGCATGTCAGTCTCCTGCTCTCTGGGCCCACCTGTGTATCTCTTAAAGGGCCAATAGAGTCCACCTGAGGTCACCAAATCTTCCCTCACTGGAAATGTCATTAAACTTAACCCATGTCCTGAGCCAAATGTGCTTTAGGGACAGCATCCCCACCACCCCTCATAGACTGTATTAAAATAGCTGTAATTTATTAAAGAAAATGCAAATCAACCCAAAGAAGCTATTCATTAATGCCTGCAAAGTACACTTGGTTAATGATTTGAGATGATCTGAGAAGGCTGAGCTGCTGGGCTGCCTGCGCTAATGAGTCACTCCCTGTTCCCTTCTAACCCTCAAGCCCAGCTTCCCATCCCAGTTACACCTTCCTATTGTTTGACCTACTTCACAACTGGGCCAACATTCCAAAAGAAATATTGGGTGCAACAGAAGCCCATGCCCAGGATCATACAGAAATGACTTTATTTTCACAAGTAATCGAGCACCTTCCTGAAAGAACACATCAGTTAGGGGGAAATTCCTTTTAGAGAGGAAAAAAGTAAAGCAACTTGGTTCTGCCTGGATGAGGGAAGGCAGAACTGGCTGGAACACTTCCATTTTTTCACTTTGAAATGACTGGCTTCCTTATTGCAAGTCAAAAGCAGTAAGGGTTGTTGTGACTGACTAGAAATTGAGTATTTTCAGTGCTGAAACATTCTGATAGAGAGTTGATTTGATATCAGGGTGATGAGGGGGTTTCAGGTGAGAATTGCCAGTTCCCATAGAGCATTTTTATCTGTGTTTACCTTCTCAGTTTAAAAGCACTGATATGTGAATCTTTGCATTTGGACACATTCCCATGTAGCTGCCACCTCCCCGATGGCACAGTTCTGCTCTGCAGCACTGAATCACTTTGTGCTAATGGTCAAACATGGGCACAAACAGGACAGAGGAGCCTTTATTTGGATACTCACACTGGTATGTAGGCATACACACTCCCATTTCCATCTACACGCATGCCAACCAAAATGTCTCAACATCAGACCGCCACATTTGGGTGGCTTTCCCACGTTTGGGAATCGGCCTCAGCACAAGGGAGGGATGATGGGTTGCAAAGGCAGGAGCAGAAAGGCATTTCCTAACCAGTAAGGATCCAAACACCCTGGCTGCAGCAGGACCCTTTGTAGGACAGAAATCTGCAAGGAAACCTGGAACAGATCGCTGCCCCATTGAGCGCAGAGGCACTGGAGGGGCTAAGGGGAAAGGGCCAAGTTTGGGTGGGCTGCAAGAAGCCTTGGCTGGGTTGCTGTGCCAGCACAGAAGGAGAAGAGCAGCAATTGGACTTGTCAGGGAAGTGATGACCCAGCAGGACTTCAGCATAACCGGGAACGGAACCGGAGCAATAACATTTCCCCAAGACTTTATCTGCAGGGTCAGGGCCCTGGAAAGACCTGGGACTACTGAAATAGCCTTAAGGATGGGGGGGGCCTCAGGAGGAAGGTGCAGGAGCTGCTGGGCAGGGATGGGAGCACAGCCCTGTGCACCATGACCATCAGCCATCAGGCACTCACCGGCATTTGGCATTTTCCCCATCCTTGGTGCCTCCCTTGAGTCCAAGAGCTCTGCACATCCCTGGGGAATACAAAGGGCAGTGGTGCCGTGGGATTGCTCCCCTTCAGTGGGAGGCAAACCCTACCAGGAATTTAGGAGCACCTGGAGTTCAGTTTCCTGCACAGTCTATTAAACACGGACTGAAACACAGAAAAAAATCTTTGGCTTCTGGAGACCTCAATTCAACTTTAGGTTGAGATGGTGAAACAAAACAATTTTCTGTCCTTTTCTGCTTCCCTCATACCACTGTACAAAATATCGCCCGGTCCAACATAAGCAGCTGCCTTTGCTCAGGACAGCAAAACAAATGGGCTTCCCTCTAAAAATGGTGTTTTCAAGGGAAAACTTTCATTCCCAGGCAACACAAAACCATTCAATTTTAGGGCAAGGTTGACTTGTGTAAGCAAAATTAAAAGAAGGTGGGGCTTTGGAAATCTAGGCTTTGTGATCTCCTTCCTGGGAACTGGGGTTTGCTTTTTCACCTGGGGGATACCTGGAGCATGTAACACCAAGAGCAGCAACTGGCTCCCTCTTGCCTTGGCAGAAACGCTGAAAACACTTCCTCTGGAGAGGATTGCCTTGTCAGCAGAGCCAGCTTGCTCTTGCCTGTCATGTTTTCCAGTGACATAACAGCTGCACCTTCCCTCTGCACATAGGAACGTGGTTGAAAAAGCCTTCGCTAGCGCCGGAGCCAGAGCTGACCAGCTCCAACTGGGCACCCCTGCGTGTTTAGGGAGCTATCACACATCACTGAGCATCAAGGAAAGGGGGAAACCCTCTGTCTGCAAGAGGGAAAGGCAAGGAGGGCTGGGCTGACACACGTGCTGGGAATGGCAGTAAAGCCAGCATGGGGTTTTCCCGTGGGTGAACTTACTGCAAGCATGACAGGACAGGGCTGACAGGGGCAGACAGAGCAGAGAAAGCAAGAACTCTTCTGGCATTAAAGGACCATGGCTGTGGTCTCCTAAACCTTGCAAGTGCCTGTCTGTTTTGGAGGGGCACTTGAGATCAGGGGAGAGGGAGGGCACTTCTTCAAAGGGGGCAGATTAATAGCTCTTTAGCATTCCCAGTTGTTTGCAGTCACCCGGGGAAGGTGAAATCATTTCCCACCACTATCTCCAACAGCTAAAAGAAACACATCTTAAATAGATAATCTATTACAACCATCAGGGGGATTTCAAGGGTGGGTGGTTTTGTTAACTCTTATTGTTTTATCTCCAATTTCACTGTTTTTTCTTAAAGGCCCAGCTCCTGGAATCATGGGACCATGTGGCCCAGAGCAAAAGCAAGCAGGGAGTCCTCCCAGATAGAGTAAAAAGCTTGGAAATAACACCATCTAGGTGCAGGGATTGCAAGCAGCTGAAAAGAAACAGGACTTAGCTACCAGAGAAGTTGGAAGGAAAAAATATATCTGGTATTTTGGGATGGAAAACACTAAGCTGAAGATGGAGGCCAGGTTGAGAGCAAGCTTGCAGACACTGGGAAGCAGAATTGAGCAGTGTGCTTTGAGATACTGAATAAAAGCAGAAGAAAAAAAGCTTTAAGTCGGGAGGGAAAGGGAGTTTTCAGCTGTCCCTCCTTTGCTTGCACAAGTAAGGAAAGAATCTCAGCGAAATGAGACTATTGGGAAAGCAGTGAGGATCGATGCTCCCTCCCCATTCACGGGCACAGTCCCTGAATCCCTTCAGCATCACTAAAGCCACAACAAATACCTTCAACACAAACCCCTGAGAAGCTGAGCATGCTCACCATGGTGCAGAGGGGCAGCTGATCTTCCTCCAGGCTGCACAGGATACCTGCTGTTGTGTTACACATACACACTTCTATCTCTACAAGCTCACAAATTCGGGGATTGTTTTTCCTAGCAGCAGCACTGAATCCATCCTGTTCTCCACCCTGATGAGCTTTCGGCAAATTAAATAGTACCAAATGTTACCCAGCATGGTAAAGGACCTTGTTTTCTTCTTTGGAAAGCTTTGCCTCTCCTGCAAATATGAGTTTATTTGTGCTCTTTGTATGATTTTATGATGTCCCATAAATGCAGAGCAATTCCTATGTGAAGGTAAAGTTCCCCCTGAACTACTTATTTCTGGCCCATTCTGCACAGATGTTTTTATAGGAAAACCCAGTCAATTTGTGTCTGGTAGAAATCCCCCTCGGGTATTCGCCTACACCAGGCAAGAGGTTTACACAGTAGCAAGTGAAGCACTGGTCAGGCTGCCTCTGGGAAAGCATCTGCCGCCCTCTCCTTGCTCTTCCTGAACTGAGATGGAAACACTGACACAGCACCAGTGATGCTCAAAAACCAGGCTCCAAGATCAAGAAAACACCCCCACCAACTGCCTTAAAATTAACATTTTAAGCAAACCAACTCAGCTCCTCTCCCTGCCGGTTTGCTTTATTTTTGCATGTCTAGAAGAAAGGCACCTAACAGAGCTTTGGCATTTTGCGCTTTTCACTGCACTCTGTATGGTGTCCCTCACAGACCCTTGGGAACATCCAGGGCACACCTGGGCACTGACTGGAGAGCATTACACACTCCAGCTTGGAGTACAGAGCAGTACTGGTTTTGAGCATAACCTTAGAGCTCCTCTATATTAGCCCTTACAGACTTGGCTTCTTCATTTTTCTCCAGCTGATCTTCACAGCCATCAGAGCTAGAAATGTGCTCCCATACCATGGCTCCCCTTACCTCCCACCTCCCTGCCTGCCTCAGACCAGGTTTTTCCAAAGCTGGGGTTCCTTTAAGCTTTGCTGTTTTATTTTGTGATGGATAACACTGAGCTGGCAGCTGTGAAACCCATTAAGGTCAAAACACCAGAAAACTCTGTGAGGATGTGGCAATGAGAGGCAGCGAGGGTCTGAGCAGGAGGGAATGAATTTCACGTCCATCACAGCAGCCCATTCACAGCCCCTCTCCTCCAGTCGTGCTCAGAACAGTCTTTTGCCTTCCTTATTTTTTTCTCACATCCTTTTCCTGCTCCCCTTTATCCTCCCTGTTTTTCTCCATCCTTGCCCCTTGCCAGCCAGACCTGTCCCACTTAGCCCCACTTCAGACACAATGAAGAGGAGGACCAGGGGGATTTGTTTTTCTTTCCTAAGCAAAAGCCCCATATGCCATCTCACCATCTGTCCACCAGCAGACCCCCACCCTGGACCTCGAGCCACTTGGCCCATGACAGTGCTTCTGGCTGAGTGTGGAGACCTGAGGTTTAGGAGCCTAGGGGAAGTGGGCAGTGGAGCTGGGGAAGGTCTCCTGCCCAGGGGGCACAGCTCTCCTCTCTCCATTGGCAGCAGCCCTTCCCAGGTGTAAAGGGACAGAGACCTGGGCCAGGCATCCCTGCTTCTCCACTGGCTCCGGCACTTTCCTCCAAGCTCTTTTGGAAGCTGTGACCCAGCATGGAGCTGTTAACCCTGGTGGTACCCGGGAGCAAGTGCTGGCCCCTCAAGCCATCGCTCCTGTTCCACGGCTGCTCCCCACGCTGGCTGCCAGGGAGACTGTGCCATGCCCAGGGGCACAGGAGGGACTGCTCAGAAAACAGGGGCGCTGCCTGGCACACGGGCACCATGAGAGCCCCATTTCCTCGCTAAGCCGAGCTATAAAAAGGCGGAAAGGTGCCGTGGCCAGCAGAGCCCGCAGGACACAGGGGGCCATCCGGCCTCGGGCACCGCTCCCGGCAGGCATCCTGTAGCACTTCTCAAATCACTTGGTAGAGATAAACTGCGACTTCCCAGCAGACTCATGCCAGCAGCAACGGGGGGATCGCCGGACGTTATCCCCTGCCTGGTAGTGGGGAAGGAGTTCCTGCTCAAGAGCGCAACTCTTCCAGCCACTTGCAATGCTTCTGTTTCCCCAAAAACCTTCTTTTAAGTGGGGTACTACTCCATGTACCCTATCTTCCCCTTATTCCTCATCTAAAGAGACAACTCAAAACCAAATCCTTCAGCTCCTGCGGTGTTTGCTAACTCGAGGTTCACAGCTTTTGGCTGCAAACCCCAGCCGATCCAGGAACTGCTCTCACAAGACTCATAAACAGAAGCCGAGCCTGTCAGCTGCAGGTTTAAACTCCTCACCACAGACCTTTGCCGCTCCTGGAAAGCAGGAGGGGGGCCAAGGTCACCCCAGGTACCAGGCAGCACTGCCCAAGGCAGGTCCCTATAGCCACCACTCGGATCATTCCATTCCTCGCCTCGCCTCGTTTGGCAGTAGCAGCACAAGAGGGGGTTTTTTCAGACACAAACAGTTTTTGGGCTAGCCCCAGGGATCTCTCCAGCATGACTCAAGCCAAAGCTGGAATAAACAGAGAAAATGAGAGGTGGGTGGAAACAGCTCCAGCCCTGAATTTCAGCCCCAAGACTCCCCCAGAGCTGTGGGAACAGGTCAGTGTGGACCCATCTGAAGAGTTCAGAGACATGAACCACCATCTGCTCCCAGACATGTCAACACTGCTTCAAAGCCCAACAAGGCAAGGAATACTGTAGAATACTTATCCCGCACAGGGTAGAGAAGCCCAGACAGCCCCCAGCAGCACCAACAGAGTAAAGGGTGTCACCAACAAAAATCTGCTTCTTTATTGACCTGCTGAAGCCAGCACCAGCATTCCCCCATCCTCAGAGGAAAACCCACAGGGTCCAGTGGAGCTTGGATGGGGCTCAAGCAGGCATAACACAGGCATATGCTCTGCACTGATGCTCTGGCAGTACCAGAAGCCATCCTGGCAATGCCAGTGTGCCTCATTTTCCTGAGCCAGCAGCTGTAGAGGGGGTCAAGGCTGGCACAGCAGCAAAGCCAGCCCATCATAACACTGGGGTGTTTGCAATTACCTCCTCCCATAGAAGCCCTAGCTGCAATGTGCCATGCCTCTCCCTCTCCTGGGGCTCAGACACACACTGAATCCCCAGGTTTAACCTCTAGCTCAAATTCTTTCAGCAGGCAACACTACCAGACGGAGAAGGCTGGAGGTTCTTCCCTCCCTGCCAGGACCAGGGATGAGGTTTTCCTCTTTGCAAAGTGCAGAGTTCAGCCACAGTGTGGGCTAGGGAAGAGAGAAGCAAACACCAGGTGAGTTTGAGAGGCGGGAGGGACCTGGAGACACAGGGAATTCAACCTAGAAGCAGCATCACTTGTGCAGAGATAGGTTTTTAAGGCAGGGGAAAAAAAAACGGATAACACAGCTATGCAAGCATGCACGTGCCTAAAATCTACAGCACTGCAAACTATACATGCAAAATGAAAGGACACCGACCTCATCAAGCAGTTGGTCAACTCTTCCCAAAATAGCCGTCTCCATTTGGTCTGCTGAGAGCCAAGCAGGGAGCTGTGTGGGTCTGTCCGCTTCCAAGTGGGACACCCGGGACTGCAGATCGGAGGTCCGAAAGTACAGCAGGAGGCTCAGCACCAGAGAAAGCAGGGAGACGCCGGGCAGCCCCGAGCCCAGCAGGAGAGGGAGGCGGCAGCATCTCTCCCCATCGCCGGTCCTGGGGGGAGTCACACACCCCCTGTCAAAAGCTGCTTCGTCGACGCCTTTCCAGCTCTTCTCCTCCAACATTCCCTCCCTGTCCTGAGAAACAATAAATAAATAAATAGAATAAAGAAAGCCTCACTCCTACTCCGAGAAGCACAATCCAGAAGGCACAGAAAAAGAGCATCCAAGAGGATCCCAGTGCCAGCAAATGACAAATGACAGCAATAATGACAAAAGTGGATGGGGGGGTGGGGGGTCTTTAAAAAAATAAAAACAAACCACACACACATAAAAGAGGTGCAGAAAAAAAGAGATCCAACTGCAGCAAAGAGTGCGAGGGGGAAAAATAATCTGATCAAGATTTTTGTTTTTCCTCCTGTGTTTCTGTCTTTTGGTTCGCTGGGGGGTTTTTGATTCCTTCTAAGCTGCCCGTTTCAGTTCCTTCGCAAACTGGCCAGGAGCTTGCACATGAAAGTCCCCATTAGAGAGAGGTAATTCTCAGCTGCTCTGGCGACGTTGTGCTCTGGCTGATCGTGGCTCCCCTGTAACATGACACACTCCCTTCGAACTACGGGGCTGGGATGAGCGAGCTGCGCGGCTTCCCAAAGTAACCTCCTCTGCTCGCCCTCTCTCTCCACCTCTCCCTTGCTGCATGATTTATTTATTTATGCAAAGCGCCGGGGTGGGATCGGGCAGTGGGACGCCCCTGTCCCGCTCGGTCCCCAAAGCACCTCTCCGCCGCCAGCCCTTCCTTTGAAGTGACTCTCGCCGAGGTTATTTATAGTGGCAGGAAAGAGATTGTAAAGCAGAGGCTGGGCTCACACCAGCCTGCGTCTTCCTTTCCTCCCCGCAGCCGAGAGCACTTTATGGGATGATGCAAAAGCCTTGTCGCGTCCCCCACGCAGATCCTGGGGCATCCCTGAGGCACCAGCGGCGGGGTATTTTGACCCTGATATTTTGAGGAGATCAGCCAGGCAGGGTGAGAAACAGAGGGAAACATTTGGAAACAAGAGCTGGCAGCTGAGGGCTCTGCAAGAAACAACCGAAGGGCAACAGGGAGAAACATCCCAGGCAGGCAAGCTGCAGTGCAAGGGGGGAACTTTTGGGGCCTGATTTGGGGGTACAGCCTGCCAAGGGCGTTCAGAGGAAATAATCTGCTGAGGCCCTCTAGTGAAGCAGTGCTTCTCGTCCTCTCCTCCGTGTCCCGGCGGGCGCAGGGCACCAGACAGACAACCCTCTTTGGCAGGGAGCAGTCTCCCTAAAACGTGCTGTAGGGCAGCTCCGAGCCACGCGTCTGGGAAACAAAGTCTCTTTCTGTTCTTCAGGAGCAAGGGAGGCCCACCTCTCCCAATTTTTCTGAGCATAACATACAATATTTTATCCTCCAGGGTGACATGCAGGCTCTGCTGAGCCCCTGCCTGTCTGTCTGTCCATTCTTTGATCCCTTCCTTGAGCACGCTCAGCAGCAGAGCAGCACAGGGCTCACCATGGTGCACAGTCCTTAAAACCCAGGCAGCAAATTGGTCTCTTAAAATCTGGCTCCCTTGTGGCTCTTTCGCTGTCATTTACACGTTTTAAATGAAGATTTTGCGTGCAGTCTGTGCTGGAAATTACTGGCAGAGAAAACTCATATTCATCTCTGGCCCGGTCTCTGTTTCAGAGGGCTGGAAGAAATAGACCTTCTGGGAGCAGGTTAACGCGAGCACGAGCTGTTTCTCCTCCACCAGACAAACCCTTGGAGGACCCAGTAGCACACAACCCCAATTCTTTGAATGGCCTCATGCCTTTCACAGCCACTCGCTTCCCAAAACGGGGCTTTAGTGTCTGCAAGGCAGGAAATCCTTTCTTTATTTCTTTTAGCAGGTTTCTTGTCATCTCACTGCTCCAATTTGCGCTGCTGTTCCGGCACGCATGGAAAACACCTCTCTGATGGCTGCAGCCTTTCAACAGTTTCTCATATGAGCAGGGCAGAAACGTGTTACCCACAGACCTGGCACACACTGGGTGTCTGTTCGGAAGGCGCAGCCACCCCTGTCTCCTACCCCCTGCTCGGTCTCTTCCCTACGTTAGCAGCCAATTTCTTTGCAAAAGGAAAAGGAGTCCCTGAGGCTGTGGCTTTTCCAGAGATAAACCACGGTCCATGGAGTTACCGAAGATACCATCTGCAATCACAAAAAATAAGCAGACAGCAAGAAATGAAGAGGAGATGCTTAGAGGCTGATGATGCAGTGTTTGGGAAGCAGAGATCAGGGAAATGTCAGTTGGCAACTGGGGTGCTGAGCATCCTAGAGAGTGATGAAGAACACTAAGACTGAGTTTGAGCTACTGATGACTGCAGCTACCTGCCTGTGTTATACATTGTTTCACCTCAGGCTGTCTCTCTCTATCTCCCCTTTATACCAGTCTAAGCACTAAAATCACAAAAAGCCACCCTCTAAGCTGAAAACAGAAATCTGCTGGGTGTCTACATCTCATTTCCCCACACTGGCTGAGGAGAGGTCTCTGCTCTTTCGCTCTTATTTGTGATAGAGACCCTGCTGTCCAGACACAAGCATCGGCTGAATGACTCTGTAAGTGCCTTTTCCTGCCTCCCCACCAGCCCCTCTCCAGCTGATCAGCTCATTTAGGGGGTATGTCATGGATGCCGCAGGCTGGAGAGCCGCACTCAGCCGGGTTTCATGCGGAAGCCTTAGTTGCAGATGTGCAGGAGGGCAATTTTTCTACCCATGAGGCATTAAGGAGCCCTGTCATCCCATGCCAATACAAATGGACTAATTTAGCTCCGAACCTGAGCCAACTGCGCATGTCGCGTCTGCAGCGCTGCTCGACAAATGAGCTGCCTCCAGGGACGGGCCCCAGCATGTGGAGTCATCGCTCCACGAGGTGAGCACAGCTCAGCCTTCAGCTCTCCCCACAGCCCCTGAGGAGGTGGGTGCCGGCCTGAAACCTCCTGCAAGTTTGTGTCTCTTGAGGCTCGTTGAGTAGAAGCAGATGCTCCGTTACAATCAGGAGTGATTTCACTGACCGGTGACTCTTGGACCGCCTTCGATATGCTGAGCTTGAGGCTGTATCCCTCTCTCCTCAGGGAGGTTGATGCAATTCTTTACAACGACAGTAACCACACACTTCCGCCACTTCTAGGAGGTCCTCTGGGGCGGTTATGGACCTCAGCACAAACATACAATGATATCTGGAGCAAATATAACCATATATACCTCCCAAAGCAGCTGAATTCCTCTGTTCAGCGAAAGAGTTTCCCATCTAGCACATGGCACTGGGGCAATTGATCAGTGACAAAGAGTTTGGCAAGCCTCTGGCTCGCTCAGTCTGTTGCTGGCACTGTCAGTTCAGCTTTCTAGGGGGCATTGGTATGTGGGCAAAGTTTGCCCAGCACTGCTCTGCAACGGACACACAATGCTCATAAAGGGGCACAATGTGTAAGGCAGGGCACAATGTGGTATCACTGCAACAGACCCTCTTTGACCCAAGGTAGGCACTGTGGACATGAACCACTCCATGCCACAGGCCAGAAATAGAAGAGCTGCGCATGGATGAGGTTCTTGCTTCTATAAGCACAGTTCAAGCCTGCCAGGTATCTACAGCTCGTCTTCACTTGGCCTGGAAAGGGGTGGATAATAGCAGCAGGCTTTCCTCACCTTCCTTCGCTTTAAGCACAACCTTTCCTTAAAGAAATAATGTGCCCTTCCTGTTACTAAGTGGAAGTTGAAGCCAACTGCATGGAAATGGCTGTGTGCTCAATCCCACCAGCGACCTCCAAAACTGTCTGAGGAGAACTTCCCCTTTTCAGGTCATTTACTAGGGAGGAAAAACCCCACCCCAGTTCTCTTTTTCCTTTCTGTTCTTGTCCTCCCCCCGCCCAGGAAACGTGGGGGTCTTAGTGAGCTCGATGAGCCATTAACTAGCAGCCGACATCTCCAGCTATTGTAAATATATTAACTCAAGGCCTTTCGCTGCGTTTATTAGACTCAAGAACAACATCTGGAAACAGATGTTTTCTGAGCGCAAAGGCGAGGAGGGAGAAGAGTAGAAAAACGAGGCCAGGGGAGGACTCTTGCAAGTGGAAGTGCATGGTCTGCAGACTGTCCCTTTGCACAATGCTGCTCACATGGAGCACTGCAAGGGGCCGAGGCGAGCGCAGCCGTGTCCCTCCCAGGCAAGGCAGTGAGAGTAGGATGTCTGAGGGGGGTTGCTGGAGAGAAACAGCAGTGGGGGAATAGAAAAACTCACATCAGTTTTCAAGGTCCTTGTGAGGAACAGCTATAGTGCTCTCACACAAATAGGATACTGAGGCAGAGAGATTTAGTCATTTTTTTTTTCCTTTCCTGGTCACAGACCTTCCCTCATCCTAAGTTGCTCTATGTCCCAGAGACTGCCAGGCTTATGGTGGGGTAATGTCACCTCCACAACAATTTGGCAGCATCTGCCACTGGTCTAGGGTCCCCATGGGGCACCACCAGTGCCCTGTCTGCCCCAAGCAGCTCTTTCTCAAAGGGCAAACAGAGTGGAAACCTCCCATCCCAAGGACTGTGAAGGTCCTGCTCTGATGAAGAGTCTTGATGTCATGGCTCAAGTTTAGACAATATTTAGAGAATTACATAGTGTTAACTAGGGACAAAAAGCAAGCAGGCAAATGCAAGCTTAAAAATACATCCTATAGCATTATTGTGAAACTCAACTAGATAGATTTTAGCTTAGGTAGCAGAGATGCCTAAGTTACAATAGAGGTCTGAGATCAAAGCTTCCATGCATTTCTTTTGTGGGAAATGCAGCTGAACACACCCCCTTGCTTTTTATAAAAATAAAATAAAAAAAATTAGCCAACAAACAACTCAAAAAACCCCAACAAAACAAACAAACAAAAAAAAAAAAAAAAAAAAAAAAAAAAAAACCAACAGCAACAAAAAAGAAACACCCACAACCAGTATTTTGTCATCTTTAGCCCTAGGTTCACAATAGGTATCTCCACCCCTGTCTCTCTAATGGGCAGCTACACATACTTTGCTAGGAAGGTCAGTAATATTGAGTATTACCTACCCAATTTGGCATTTGTTTATAGGAAGTATTAAGTAGCCTATGGAGCAGAACAATTCCCGCCTGAGGAGCTGCTCTAACCCATTGTAGAGTTATAGAATAAAGACACATTTGATCCTTTGGGAAAAGAGTTATGAAAATACATGGAAAAAATGTACTGTCCACGCATAGTAATATCATGGCTGTTTTCAATCACTTGGTTTCCTACAAAACAAAGGGGCTCACTGCACAATATGAACTCCTAGTATTGGTAGCAGCAAGGAAAATAGGGAAGAAACAGAGTTAGTAGTATCTGGTTGGGGGTTTATATTTTCATAACCCTGAAATGCCTGAGCTCATTGCTGCCTCCCTCCCATCAAAGCCAAACTGGCTTCGTGCAGCCTCAGTGGTGGGAACCTGTCCCCGGAGCTGTGTGAGAACAACCGAGCAGAGCTGGGCTGCGTCAGGGTGGGAATGCAGCCACCAGCAGCTCCTGCAGAGGCTGGCTCACAGCCTCCAAGGGAGGGTGAAACAAACCCGGGTTGTGCACGGTTTGGGGCCAATCCTTCTGAAAGGCCACCCCTTCTCCCGCACCCCCCGCAGAGGGAAGGCTTTGCAGGAGGACAGTGAGGCAGCAAGTGGTGGACACACACAGTTAAGTTGCCCACGCTTCTCCCTGTGTTTTTAACTAACCTCTCACCTTTTGTTCAGATGACGAGAGGAATGGCTCTGAGCAAACCAGGCTCTGCACCCTTCTTCATGGCGGAAGGAACTTTTTTCTCACAGAAAAAGCATTTCACAGCCAAGAAGCATTTCACATGGAGATGTTTTACTTCTTTTCAGCAGTGGTTTGGGGTTTTTTGTTTGTTGTTGGGTTTTTTCCTCCGTGTTTGGAGCTGATTTTTAATGGGTTGTGTTCAATGCTGCTGCAGTCTGCAGAGAAGGTCATCTCTTCTAGCCTGTTTTTCGCTGTTATCTTGGTTCCTGCAGAGCCTGGATGGGAAAGAGATGGTAAATTAAAAGGAACAACATTGCTACAAATAAGACAAGAAAAAGCCTCCACCCTTACAGTACTATTCTCCAATATGTTGCAAGCTTAAAAATTCCCACAGCAGCCTGTGGGAGATGCGTTTTGCTCAGGACCGAGATGTGCCTACACTGGGAAAGCTGCTTTGGAAACTCTTGGTGAACCTGGGAAACCCCTGATGCAGAGCACCATCACAGGCTCTCAGCACAGCTAGAGCAGTACAAAGCATTAGCTGTAGCAAAGAGGTTCTCAGACTGAACATTCCAAATCTGCTCAGCCAGGTGGAAAAATAAGGGTGAGATTTTCAGGCATGAAATCAGTAGGGCACAATGTTCTCCAGGACAAGGCTGAGACTCCGGAGAAAAGCTCCTCTGTTCCCAACAGCAACTCCCCCTCAGCTCCTTGCTGAGCAGAAAACCTCCCTCTGGTAAGGCCAAGCTCAGGCATTGTGTGCTCAGTTAGTTACTGGTGCACCGAGGTGCTCCCTGCGGTGCATTGGCACGAGAGGGACTGATAAGCCAGAGCACTGATTTGCATTTGGGTTTACCATTAAACAGTTTGGTGTGAAGCTACTGCTGAATGCCTCTAGCCTCACTGCACAGCTGGGCTATCCTGCCTCCCCCTCACCTCTGCCAGGTACAGAGTTCCATTAATCCTCCACTGCCTATTTCCACACACATCGCTAAAATAACCCTTCACCTTTGACAGATGCAGATCAGGCTCAAGCTGCCACCCACCTGGGACAACCAGCCCACACGTGGGGTGAACACGCTATAGGGTGATCTGGAAACCCCAAAATCCTGCCCAGGGCAGACCAGATGCCACATGCATGTGCAGAGGCTGGCAGAGTTGTGTCACAGCTCTGTCTAGGAAAACCAAGCCCTACAGTGCCGGGGCAGGCGGGGATCCCTGTGCAAGCAGCCGGGGAACCCGCAGCAGCTTTGTATGGACTTTGAAGTTAATGAATCAGAGCTGGGAGGATTGGGAAACCCAGACCAAGTGTCAACTGCACTAGGGGAAGCAAAAATAATGAAGCGAGGCTCCCCTAGAAGACTGATTGTTTTGGAGTCCAGAAGTGAAGGAGAATGGATACAGCAAGCTCAGGAAATTGAAAACAACTTTGGGTAAATACTTCCTCTCACTCCAGCACTTGGTCTTTTATCAAAGCTGATTCAGACCCTGACAGCAGCGAGCAAAGCAGTTCTGCTCCATCGTAATGCAAAAGACAGGCCCGGCGGACAGGAGGTTAGTGGCTAATGGAGCGGAGTCGGGTTCAATTTCCCTGGAAATTGCTCGCAGAGGAAAGCCAGGAGACAAGGAGCACTGCTAATGTCCTTCTGCAACGCCAGTGCTTCCCCTGCACAGGGCAAAGCCCTCACTTGTGCCCTCTGCCTCCCACGCCGCAGTTCCCTGCGGATCCCCCCGGCACTCCAGTGTGAGGGAGAGCAAAGCCAAAGCAAAGCAGGAAGGACATGAGCTGCCATCCTTGGAAGCAGATTGATGGTGTCAGGAAGCAGCATGGCTCCCACCACAGTTGCTTTCTCAGCACCTGATGTAAACCCTCCTGGCAGGGTAGTTAACCTGCTTTATTCAAAGCAGCTCTATCAGTAAACCTTCAGCCACCTATGGAGTCTCTTCCAGCTTTTTGGGATTTTACCTGCCACCAGGGGTTTGTCTCCTTTTAGCAGCATTGCAAGGGGACTATGGAAAGATGCTTTTCCATCCCTAAGGCACACTTGGCAAGACCAGTTCACACAATGGCTGCAGTGCTCCAGGATGTGCAGTGTCAGTGCTCTGCATCCCCATCAGGCTCGGCACCCAAGGGACATGTCTGAAGCTGAGTGCCAATAAATGAACTTGTTTTAAGAGAAAGGGTCCAGTTCTTCTCGCTTGGGACTCATTAAAGTCAATGGAAAAAAGCTCTTTTTAGCCTCCTTAGTCTTTGGCACTTAGGTCTCACGGCAGCTTGACGTCAGTGTGGTCACTCCAGATTTATGCCAGTCTAGAAAAAGGGAATCCATTATGACAGGTCCCAATGAGAAGAGGGGAGAGCTAGGTCCTCTGGTCACAAAACTCAGTCTCTACACGGAAAAGCCAAGTCCCCCATTTTTACCACAGGCATCTGAAACTGCATCTTGATGCATTGTAACATTCCTCCTCTTTCTCCTCAATAAACCAGTGCTATCCACTTTGTGTGAGTGCTTCATACCTGCTTCGAATTTGAGAGGCCTGTTGCTGATTTCAAACAGCAGGGAGTAAAGCATATATACTTAGTAGACCAATATTAAGTAGTAAACACACCTTGCAATGGTCCTTGAAGGATTCACCTGAAATGGTGGTTCACTTCCTTCAGGCTCAGAATATTATATTTTTTTTAATTTGACCATATGCAGCTACAAATGCAGTGAATAAAATACACTTCTCTGTTTAAAAGGGGTCAGCAGGGAGAGAGCATGGAACCCCTTCTTTGGAGGCATTGCTGCCCACCACCCACCTTGCGAATCACAGAATCATTTAGGTTGGAAAAGAATTCCAGGATCATTGAGTCGAACCTATGACCAATCACCACCTTGTCCAGCTAAACCATAGCACTAAGTGCGTGTCCAGTCATTTCTTGAACACCTCCAGGAATGAGATCACCAGCTCCCTGGGCAGCCCGTTCCAATGCTTGACGACCCTTTTCGGTGAAGACATTCTTCCTGAAATGCCCATCCTGCCCATGTCAGTGGATGTTGCAATGGATCAGGGCAAAGCTGACACAACCCATGTGATCCGCAGAGGTTTGCCTTTCCCGAGGGCTCTGCTGTACGTCTGCAAGGAAAGAGCTGCCTCTCACGGGCACACCGGAGAACGCTGCTGGGCTGAGCACACAACTGTCCCTGCACATTTGGAGCATGGGGGGTTAGCGTGGAGGCTGAAATATCACGCCTATCAGTAGGGCCCTGCAGACAGAAAATAGCAGAGGATCTGGTGGCAGTTTCCTTTCAAGAAGTACAGGAATAGCAGCACACATCTCTGCCGGATCATATGGACTGAATTCCTCAGTCCAGCTCTTTCGGCTTTGAATTCTTCTGCAAACCATTTTTTTTCCCCTCTTGGCTTGTTTGTTGTTTCGGGACCACTAAATTACCAAGAATGGTTTATATTATATAACCACCCTGTCCTTATTGCATATATGTCCTTTATATTATATAACCACCCTGTCCTCCTTTCAGGGAGGAGACAGATCTAATTTGTACTTTAAATTGGCTTCTGGGTCATGCCTTCCAGATGGAAAACCCAGTTGCACTCACCAGCAGATATCCCAGTACATTCAGGTCCCAAATCATGCCCTGGCATACAATTTGTTTTTTTTACAGCTAACGGTCACTTCAGTTCCTGGTGAGGCAGCATCGCTTTCCATCACCTGTATCACTTCAGCTTTCAGCCCTGCCTCGCTGTCCTGTTGTTTTTCCTAGAAGCCTATTCGACAGCTGCAGCAGCTTTGTAACTGCCGGATTAGGGATTGGTCTCCCTGGGAAAGTCCTTTCAGATTGCCTTTTTCAAGAGTGACTCTCTCTGCTGGGCTTGCTCAACCTGTTTTAACACCAACCCAAATCAAAAACAATTTTAAGAAAGCAAACACCATGCTGCTTTTGCATTTGAATAGCACAAGATCCTCTTGTGTCCTGCCGGGGCAGAATCAAGGATACATTCAATCCTGGTTTAGGTTACAGCCAGGGTCTGGCCAGTGGCACGTTACACACGGGACACTCACATTGCTGACAGCCACAGGGTGTTAAAATGCTGCCATTGACAGCGACAAGCCTGAGCTATCATTTGCTTCGCTGAGGGCTAGTGAGGTGAGGTGGCAAGTGCCTTGAGGCAGCCCCCAAATGTGGCTGGGAGCAGGTCTCTGAGCTGCCCTGTTCCCTGTGTCCAATTTGGGGAGCTGCTGGGAACAGCAGCTCAGGCTGAGATGAACAAACTTTATCTCAGAGGCAGGTGCAATGCCAGGGGCTGACCGCTTGTAGGGAAACGGCATTGGAAGATACCCATCATCTGCAGCAGTGGCTGGTGTAAGCTCACACAAGAGCTCAGATAGACAGTCTGGGGCTTCCTCTCAGTCCCCGTGACATTTTTTGTCCTTTTAGCCTTTCTGTTACAAGGCACATATAATTCTAGGGCTGTGTGGCCTGATGGATGGGCAACTTGGTGTTTTTCCCACGTATGCCACTCTGCTGCTTGGTGGCCTTTGGTGACCAATGAATGCCTTTCATTGAGTCTTTCTTCCTTTCCTCTGCAGGGAAACAAGGCTACTATAAGTTGCTTTAAGATAAACTGCTGACCAGGGTCAAGGAAAAAAAAAGAAGATGAATAAACCGTCAACCACAAAGAGTTTCAAGCCAGAGTTATCAAACCCTTACCTTGCAAGTCTTGAACCTCATGGTACCCACAAACACATCCTCATCATCATCTGGAAAGGCTCCTGTCACCAGGACAGTATTTAAAAGCCTGCTCGTGTTCAACTCACACTTCCAAGAGACGTGTGCCATGTGTCGTCCAGGGAAAGGCAGTGAGTGGTGCTGAGGGAGACCTGAGAAGCCCATAGGGACACTAATGAGTAAGCCTCCCTCACTCTTAATGCTCTGAAGCTGATAGAAGAACAACCATCCCATTTCAATGCCTCTGTGCCCTTCCTAAGTATCTTCATGTTTTCAGGGGCTCTGTCAGCCTAGCAACATGCATGGAACTGAAATTAGCTTTTTGGGGAAAGGTTGAGAACAAGCTTACTTGGGGCCATCATCTCTGGGCAATCAGAGCTTGCAAAGAAGATCAGATGAATGTCAGTCATGCTGTGGATGGGCAAGATCATTCCTGGAAGACTTTGTGAAGCCCACACCTAAAAGCCAGTGCTGCAGCATTTGGGTGGACTCAGGCCTGATGGGCCTCACAGCGAGCACTGCATTACACAAGAACAGGACCACAGTGGCTGGCTTGGATGGAGAGGCTCAGCCAGGCACATTTCTTGTGTGGGAGAGCCAAGGTGTTGAGCAACACCCAGCAGAGACCGGCAGATTTGCTGCCAGGTCTCCACTACACAGCCTAACAGTGCCCACGCATCTCCTGAGTCTCCATTTCCCAGTACCTCTTGTAGGGATGCACATTTAGCAAAGAAGTGTAAACCACCATCAAATCTGAGTGGTTGCACTTTACAGCCACTTCAGCTCCGGCCCAAACAATTACACAGAATCCACAGTAGCAAAGACCAGGGCCATATATTACTTTAAAGGAGTAGTTTGTTTTGGTTTCACTCCCCTGCCCACATCTCTCTGAAACTGCCCTCTGTTTGTTTAGGATATTTGCAGGCTTGCAATATTTTCCTGGCTGAGTTCGCAAAGGACACTGTGGTCTTAACAGGCTCTGCCTTGGACTCCTGTGCTGCTGTGGCCAAGTCCTTGGACTTCTCTGCAGAGTAAATCAAATAATGTGTGCAAAAGCAGACGTGAAAAAAATAACATATGCAGAAGGACTGACATGTTAAACTATGAGCAATCACTGCAGGTGTGCAAGAGAGTTCCAGGGCTGATACTCGATTGCTGCACTGGATTAAATTAAAAAATTGAAAAGTCTGAAGGACTAGGCAGCTATACAGTAAGATCCAAGCCAAACTCAGACGATTCTCCCCAAAAACTAGCATTTTGGAAAGTGTGGAAACTGCAGCCCAGTGAACCCAAAACTGGTCCTGAAAACTCTCAGATTGTAAACAGCTCCTCCCAGGCCCTGTCCCCTTTGATGCTCCCCTGACACAGGCCTGAGAGGCCTAGCAGCAGGGACTAGCAAGAACTGGTTTCTGAAAATATGGAAAACAAATTTCCTGAGGGAAAAGAAAACTCGGACTTGTTTCACTTTAAAGGCTTGTTTGTTTGGTGCCTTTGGAAAAATGAAAGAAAACAGTGATGGTTCTGATAAAAAAAAATGCCCAAATGCAGAAAGAAATAATGAAAAATAAAGTATGTTTTTTGACAAAAGCATATTGGCCAGCCATGCTGCTGTGTCTATGTCAGATGTGTCTCAGCACCAGCAAGAGTCCTCACAGCCCATTGCTGGCAACAGTCACTGAAAAATCCCAGCCTGGCTTGGAGTTCACACCTCCACTATTTATACTAATTGTCTGCAATTTCTGTCAATGGTATCCTCTCGGTGGCAGGCATATTTATCAATCTGTTAATGCTGAGCTGTTGCCTGCCACACACCAGCTCTCTCTTCTTGCTCTGCCTTCATATAGACAGAGCCAGGTTTGCAGCAGCAGTCTAATACTTTTTTCCACTCCATGTCAAGAAGCATCCGTTGTGGATCAAAAGCTCCTTCTCTCAGGGAATTTATTTCATTAAATATCCTCATCTGACTGATTTCTTGGGGCTACCCTACCAAACAAGGGTTGTTGTGTGGAGCGGTGTTTGGAAGTGCATAGAGTCACAGAATGAATCCCACAATTGTTTAGGTTGGAAGGAACCTTAAAGATCATCTCATTCCACCCCCTGCCATGGGCAGGGACACCTTCCACTATCCCAGATTGCTCCAAGCCCTGTCCAACCTGGCCTTGGAAACTTCCAGGGATGGAGCAGCCACAGCTTCTCTTGGCAACCTGTCCCAGGGCCTCACCACCCTCACAGGGAAGAATTTCTTCCTAATACCTAATCTAAATCTCTCCTCTTTCAGTTTGAAGCCAGCCAGTAAGCAGTTAAATATTGTTTCTGGTGAAAAGCCATGGCTGTGCTAACAGCAAATCAGTCCATCAAGCTGCCTCATTCTCCCACCCTCCCAAGGACAAAACCACAATGAATGATCCAAAGTAGTAGTCTTCAATATCCCCTTTTAGCCCTAAACTGGCTAATCTGCACATTCATAAACTGTATGTGAGTTTACAATATACCAGAGGGAGGGATACCTTTCTTGGCAGAGCTGTGTCTCGGTTTACATCACAATAGCAATAAAATTATCTTATCTTCATTTAACTTTGCACAAACCTATCAAATCTAGCCTATAGTCAAAACCGGTTGTCTCAAAAAATACATTATCAGTTGCAAGTGCCAAAGCAACTTTTCTTCCTCCTTACGTAGACAAAACACATTCTTGCCCCAGAAAATGAGAAACCTGTGAGCTTCAGCACTAAACCTGGGTTGTCATCAGAGCATCTAGTGCCATGAAACTAAAAACCCACACAAACACCTCCCCTGATACTCTTTCAGTGAGGAAACCGAACTAAAAGCCTTGTGTGGACTCAGCAGCATGAACTAGTGTCCACTAGGGCTTGAGCTGACACCTCGGGGGTCTGTCATTTGAACTCACAGCCATACAGATGAAACTCACGGTTCTGGGCTTGTTTTCCTCCTTTTCCTCATATAAATGACATGAGCCAAGCTCAGGCTGTGCTGTGTTAGCGGTGCCCAGCTGTCACCCACACATCGCCTCAGCACAACAGGGAGAAAATGGCGGGCACAGACCTGCCCCTTCAGGGCGTCTCCACAGGAGGCAGGGGAGGACCACCACCTCCTCCTCCACCCCCCAGTGCTCACTGGGCTGTTCCTCATTTCCCCCCCCCATTATTCCTCTCCGTTTTCCAACATTTTCTCCCTTTTTTACCTCAATTTCCAAAAGGCACCACACCAACAGGCTGTGAGGGCTGTGCAGCCGCCAGAATCAGCTGGAACTCGTCGTGCCTGAGGCAGTTCCTGTCATCCCCCACAAAGACCACTCAACACTGTTTCCATCCCCGAGCAGTTTCCACATCTCCTCACAGAGACCCCCTTAGCCCCACTGCCATCCCTGGGCAGTTTCCACGTCTCCTCACAGAGACCCCTCAGCCCCTCTGCCATCCTCAGGCAGTTCCCACCTCCCCTCACAGAGACCCCTCAACCTCACTATCATCCCTGGGAATTCCTGCCTTTCCTCAAAGATCTCTCAGCCCCACTGACAGCCCTGGGCAGAGGGCACATGCTCACCCTTGGTGGTCTGGATGCTTGGGATAAACTGGTGTCTGTGCTCAAGCAGCAGCCCCAGTTCTTCACAGGGACCACTGAGGGCTGTGGCGCTTCGCCTCAGACAAAGCCACCATCTTCTGAGCGTCTCACCCTGTGCACACAAACACTCGATGCTCGATATACCGCTCTCCCTGCCTCAACCCAAGTTTCCCGAAATGACAGAAATTAAGTCGTAAAGGCTGCCTTTCATTTCCCCCCCACCTCCATGTGTTTTCACTTCAGCCAAACACCAAAAACATTTCCTGGCAGCTGCCTTCAATTGAGGGCAGGGAGGGAGGTGAGCTGGTGGAGAGGAGACCCACGGAAGGGACCCGCGCTCTTTGAGCCTCTTCAGAAGGAAAAAAAGGGGAAGGAGGGACGAGGAAAGGTGTCATTGCTCAGTTTTTGATGATGATGCTAAGAACAGCCATGGGGAAGGCAGGCAGTGAGTGCCTGCACCGTTACCTCAGGTTCCAGTGGCAAAGCCTGGGCATCCAGCATTCCCTGCACATGGCTGCTCCTGCTCCAGCTGCACCAAGGAGAGTCCCTATGGCTGGGGTCAGAGAATCTATGTAAGAGGTAGAGAAACGTTGCAGAAACCTGTCTGGAATAGCAACCCACTGACAAATCCCTCCAAGGTGCCTGACTTCAAGAAATGGTACAATGGTAAAGGTGGTTTTCTGCCTTGGGGGTGAGGAGGTGCTTTCACACACTACTTCCCAAGCCTTGGAAACCAGAAGTGTCCCTCAAAATGCCTCTTCCCTGTTGGCAATTTCCTGTATTAGGTCAGTAGACCCTGCTGGCAGCAAGAGGCGTAAGGTGATGCTGTCTTGGCTTTGTTCATGTTTTCCTGCAATGAGCTCTCATCTTTCCCAGGGATTTCTGCTCACTTCTGCATGATAAGGAAAAGGTACTTATCTGCACTTGCATGCTTCCTTGCCTGAAATCAAAAAAGGAGAATCCCTCCCACAGTAAGCACAATGGATACCAGTGCAGAAGCCAAACCAGGAACAGTAACCTTAGCAAATACCATGCTGGCCTCATCACAACACTGCTGCCTGCAAAAAGCACAGAGGCAACACGCACATCCCCACTGCCGTGCACTCATATGCAAGCTGGAGAGCCAAGGATTAACCTCCCCGGCCAAAACCAGGAGCAGGAGGCAGGAGTTGCAAGCTGAAGATCAGGGCTAGAAAAATCAGAGACCTCAGCAAGGTGGAGATCAGGATCCAGACCTGCTGCATATCAAGGAGCACTTAGAGCTGGATTCAGAAACCGAGCCCTGGACAAAAACTCAACAGCTCCTCTCTGCTGGTAAGGGCTCACGCCATCACATTCCTGTGCAGAGTTGGCCTGACCCACGAGAGTGATATAAGATGGGGTGGTGAAGTATCACCTATGAGTAACTCTTGCTCTTACAAGCTAATTTCACCTCACCCCTGTTCTCCACATGCACACATAGAGTGTATTTTCTTCTCTTTCCATCTGTTGGACGTGAGGTTTTCTCTTCAATATTACAAATCTTTCAGCAGATCCACTTGTACTTTTTTTCATAACCTTGCTGAGACATATTAAAAAAAAACAAAACAAAATAGCCAACACCAAAAACCCTCAGGCCTCAGCACAAAGCTGTTTTCCATGGCATATCCTCCTGGCTTCCCTGCTCCTACAAGAACAGCTTTTCTGCCAAACTCACCCTGTACCAAAAGCTGACGTTTATTTACACTTGAAGCACACTCCTGCTGTGTCCCAGCCTCTACATTGAAGTACAATAGCATTGTGAAAAGTGCCTGCCATTTCCAGAGGGAAAGTAATTAACAACCATAAGAGCGCCAGTTAATTATTCTGCATGAGTTACCTTTGCACTTGCATTTCCAGAAAACCTCCTCCCTCTTTTATGGACACCCCCAGCCCCCCATCTATAAAAGCCAGGTCCCCCCCAGCCCCCTCTAGGCCACTCCAACATGTGTTTTCCTGAATCATGGGCTTGAAGGGCAAATGTCCTCACATGGGTTTCATCATGCCACAGAAAACAAAATATCTCAACTGGGCACCTGCTTCACTTCAATTCCCAGAAGAAACCCCCAAAACCACTATAATATGCATCACAGTTAAAAACCAGGGAGATACAGCCATGTTCAATACTCAGAGCTCTGCCTGTGTGGGAACATCCAGAAAATCCTAATTTTACAATATCCTCTTTACCTTTCATCTTACTCTATGTCCCCAGTCCCATGATGGGAGAAGCTGAGCCCCACCTCTCCACGCAAACTCTCCTCCTTACTTCTTACACCAACATGCAATCAGGAAGGTTACTCTCGCTGCCACGCTTCCCGGTGGTCCCAATTAATCCCATGGAGTCAGAACACAGCACGTAATCGGGAGCTCGCCCGCGCAGTCGGCAACTGGGAGCCCCAGACACACTGTATTTATCTGTAAATCAAAGTGAAGCTAAGCAGCTCCCCAGCCCTGACAGCATTGGTGTGTCTCCCAGAACATTTTACAAATTGCTTTTATGACATGCTTTGTGTCTTTCCACGTTGGACGACGTGTTTAATCAAAGGTTTCTTCCAAAAAAAATGCCAAGGACTGCCCATTGGGACCAGAATAAATTCAAGAGGATACGCCGTCCTGTTTTATTTTTTATCCATCAATAGCTATTGTGCTGTTTAAAGGACTGAGAAGAGTTTTGTTACTGGAAAGCTTTTCAATGCTTTGATTTCTATTTTTTTTCCTCTCTTCTTTCTCTGCAAAATGCCACTTGCAATTCCCACCCTTTTTCTGCTGAGTGATTATGCCAAAACTTCTGCTCAAAGGATTTTGGCCAAATTTTGCCCTCAGATATGCACATTCAACTGGCAGTGAAATTAGTGGCTTGTTTGCATGCAAGTTGGAGGAAGGAATTTGGCTCCATCGGCAGCATTTTCTGAGCAGCCACAGAGTGCATGCACACCAATTTTTTAGACCCCTGTTTCAGACACCATGGCCCAGAGGCAGCCGAATTCCCAGACCACTTCAAGTTGCATACCAAAATGTTTGCAGTGGTGAGTGTTGCAGGATGGTTACCACAGCCCCCAGTGCTGGAGGGGATGTAATGCATCCCCATGACATGCCAGCATGGGAGCTGGGTGCTGGCTTTGCTCTCCAGGACCTCACTACCTTCTTGGTCACGACTCAGCTCAGCTGCAGGTAGGGTCAGCAGGGGTGAAAGTTGGTGTTACACATAAAAAATGTGACTTATCCACACACTGAGGATCTCTCTAAGGTTCTGGTGGGCTCATGAGTGATTCATCTCATGCAGGAGCAGCTCCCTTGCTTGCTCCCTCTGCTTGATGGCAGAGGGAGATGGTTGTCTCCATACACTGCCTGGAGTTATGTCACCAGACACCCACAGGCTCAGATGTGACATCCCATCTGCCACCCCACACAAAGGCAGAGTGCTCCCTGCCAGCAGATACCAGTGGAACTCTGACATGGGTCTAACACCTATGGGACAGCAAGTGGGACACTCAGGACAGGCTGGATCCTCTGTAGCACTTCCAGGGAATTTAGCTGCTTTCTGGTGGAAGAAGGTTTGCTTTCATCCTTCCTGGCATCTGGAAATGTACAGCTACTCTTCCATGATCTGCTCTCATTCAGGCTGGTACCTCCAATGTGTGGTGGCAGGAGAGAGGACCCTCAGGGGTGGCTTCTCCAGTTGACTCTGGAAGGAAGGAGAAAAGGTCACAGGAAGGTCGTTTTCAGGACTGTAGGAGACTCTGGTTATAACTCAACTGACATTGTGCCCAGAAGTGGGACAAGGCCAAGCTCAAACCTTTCCCATAGACATATGTGCATTTAAATGTGTGCACACGCACACCTTTAAATACATACAGGCAAAGATAAAATTAACATCCCTCAGCCCTTATTGATTCTAGTAAAAAGGAATCAGGACGGATGCTAGCCTTGTGTTTTGGGATCCTGGCATGACCAAGCTGTTTTGGGGAAGTCTGACTCCTTCTTTCCCTTGCCCTTGCGTGCCTGGTGGTCTCCAAGGACAAGCCTGCCGCTGTGGGGAAATTGGGACACAGGAAGCTGCGCTGTGCACGGCTGGTCCCCATGTTATTTCGGTTAGTGGCAATGAATGGTAATGAATTCCAAAATGGGTGGAGGGTGGGAGAACGAACCAGCCCAACATTAATCCCTTTTGTTCGTTCAGCTAACAGCATAATCTCCAAATGTCCACAGACAGTTCTTAAAAAAAAAAAAAAAAGAGGATAAAGAGCAAACGATGTAACGTGTACGACTCATTTCCAGGCTGAAGGCCTTCCTGGTATTTCTGTCTGTGTTCCAAACTCATCAACCCCTCCTCCATGCTGAGACACAGGAGAAAACAGCATCCCTGACCCAGGACCCAGCCAACATCCTTTTCAAACCTGATTTTTCCCCA